AGTCAACAAAACACAAGAGAAGGATCATAGAATTAGCGTTTCATTTATTGAAATAAAACAAGGGGATTATATAACATGTACGGCGGAAGTTTATTTATTATCCAGGTATCCACCAATCGCCTGCGTGTATTCATACAGCTTATGTCTGAATCGCACGACTTCTGATTGGTTGGCACAATTGGTCCGTTGTTCGTTGTCCAGAAACTGGAACGCCTAACTCCGAGTTTGATGTTATCCCGTAGACTAGGATCACCACAACTCTCCTCCCTCAAATGAGCCTCATCGATTTGACATGTTTTTCTGCTTGGTGTTTGCGGCACCAATAGAGAGTTCTCATCGGTAGGCGTTTCAGGACCACCGGATTGCTGGTTGAGGATTTCTGTAACTCCTGATCATTGAAGTATTCTCTAGGACTAGTAGGTTCCTCTGAATGTATTTGGCCGAGTCCGTGTCGGTGATCTGCCGCACCTTCCATAGAAGCTAAGCATTGCCCTGAGCATCGCGATCACCGCAATTTGGGCGGTTCAACCGATTTTTCTTTGGTGCTGGAATGAACCGCATTTTTGTACTGCAATAGGATATTTTTCAACAGTTCCTCAATCTCCTACATAGTATTCTGGTATGCCAATGCAACATCAGTTTCAACCGTTCTCACTAAATTCTTTGATGTAACGTGCGAGCGGGATTGACGTGGCATGCGCAACCATTAACTTTCAACCTGAAGGGTTCGATGCACATCCCTCCGGCATTAGTGGAACCATTCGAGATCAGTTTTTGTCGCTGGATGTGAACACTTTTAGTCTGCAGGAATGCGATAACGCAGATTGGTTCAACTCACGAATGGCTTTCAGACCCAGGATGGATTGAATGTTCTCAGCTAACAGAAAACGGATAGGAATGAAGCAGTTTTCCGCTGATCGAACCACCAAAGGCATTTCCCCCACGAATGAGAGATTGTGATCCGTAACAGCACGAATCTACACAGACGTTCATGGTACTTTGGCCTCGGGAGAGATCAATCATCGTACTCAGTTGAAATGCTTGATTCCATACTCCCTGTGTCCACAATGAATTTGTGCTGCACACCGGATTGTAGTTTCACATCTTTGTAAACAAATTGGGCACACTGACTCTGGGTTCGTAATGAGAACACAGAGTTTGTGTCTTGCTCGACTGATGGCTGTGCTAGGTTACAGCGGGGCTGTTTGCACACTTTCCGGATGTGGCCAATTTTCCCACACGCATGGCACTTTGCATTGCGGAATCGACAAGTAGGACTCAAGTGGCGAGCTCCACATGATAGACACGGGTTGATGGTTTTCTCGTTGCCGGAAGTGTCACACTGTGGCTTGGATTTATATTTTGCCACTGGAGGTTGAACTGGTTCTGTTTGTGCCGTTGGAACAAAGTGATCGCTTCGCTGGAAGTTGCTCACATTAGATCATCGTACTGTTCACAAATCTTGCGTGCCTCTACGAACGTCATATTCTTATTTTCCAGTAATTTCTGTAGAAACTCTCAATTTGTTTATAACTGCCACCAGACGGTTACAAAATCATTCCTCCAAATGATCACCGTAATTGCAAGGTGATACCTGCTTGTTCAGCTGGAGGCTGAAGTCCCGAAAAGTGTTCTCGAGCCGCTTTCAGATCGAGGAAGACAGAGATGACGAATTTAAGAAAAGAATGTCAGTGTCACAAAATTATCGAAGAGTGAAGTTGTTGTCGTACGACCCCCGCTGTCGGTCTAGTGATTGCCAAAATTCTTTGTGCAGAATAATTTGCACAATGGGGAAGTCATAACGGAGAAGCACCATGTAACCCTGGGGTTGCAGTTTGCCCACTTCTAGAGGTGCAATTTTGGTTACGTATGATCGTGAGCCTTGGCATGTCTTATGGCTTTATCCTTAATGGACTTATAGTCCGATTACCTAAATATTCTACTCATTATTTGTTTTTTTTACAACAGTAAACTTATTTTATGAGTTTGTGATTCTTCGAGTACCACTCTTCGTCAGTGACTGATACTTGTTGTTTTTTTTATCCCAGAGTGTTTTATCATTCATGTTTGTTTGACGTTTCAGGTACTGGACAGAATGATACCAAAAAGTTGGGGAAAACCTATTCTAATTAAACTGACACCAGAAGTCGAACGTCTGTGGATTTGCCCCAAATTTTGTCGTGAAACAATCAGTCAGGCCGAAATCATCCAACGTCATGCGATACCCACGGATTTGCCAGCAAACGTGTCCGGTTTGGATCAAGCAATTCATCGATCGGATTTGGCCGCCATTACCATATATGCCAACGGTGCTCGTGTACCGGTAATCAGCGAAGGAGAACAAATGAACATTTTCAATCTATTAGCATCTATTGGAGGTACATTCGGCTTATTTTTAGGTCTATCTGGAGTCACTGTGTTTGAAGTGATTGAGGCACTTTTCCTGGTGTTGCGTGCTTCGCCAGCATTGTGTCGAATATGTGTCCGATCGATACACGGAACCAATAGCGAATCAAAAGTCTATAAGCTAACGACGAACCAAGCCAAAGTGATATCACAGAAAGAATAAGTTCTGTTCTAGAGGTTTCCAGACAGAATTTCACTGAGAAACTTGGAGTAACACATGGTACAAGAAACTCCAGGATCGCTCTATCAAGTGCTGCGCACTAAGAATGTTAGTGTTATATTGACAGGAAGATTCACTCTGAATCCGGTATCGCGGGTGCAACTGTTACTGATGTCTGTTCGACTTGTGCCAATTTCTATTGGTTATGTTTCCAATAGTTTTCAATGGGGTGATTGTAGGGACTTCAGACCGGCAGTGTGACATGCTCGGGACTCATCATCATCAACGGTTTGCCTGTTCCGCCTGTACGCTTGTTTGCATAGTAGCAAGTATTGATTGTTTGGAGCATTCGCTAATGCTTTCTTCTCCTCCCAGGTACAGATTACATCACTATATTCAATATCCTGGTGTATTCCCTTATCTAGGTTTCCAACCTTTGTTTAAGGTACCACCTCCAGCGTTGTTTGGTCAATTCGAACGATGACTGGACTCGTGCTTCAATTTTGAACTTTAAGCTTTCTGCTTCCAGATAATTAACTTAAACTTTCGATGCTTCTGAGGGAACAATATACTTTCCCTTGACTATTTGGTTGTTGTTCCTGGTATCTGCTGTGTTACAGAAAATCATGGGATATTAGAGACCGAACCGCTTCCGCAGGCCGTAGGGTAGCATCCCACCTCTAAAACGGGCAAGGTGGAATTTCGTATCTAAATTAATGGATCGTAATTTTTGAGAAGATAATTGGTGGATACTCGCAAATTGAATCAAGTAGGTGAAATTCGAAAATTCAAGATTATATGATCCGATTCCGTTTTCGCAAGGTCAATAACCAATTGTATGACAGGTAAAATGTAAAAACCATAAACAAAATGAAAAAATTTTTTGATTAATATCTTTCATTAGATGTGCACCTCTAACGTACGATAAATGCAGCATAAGCAACTCGTTCGAGTCCTGGGTGGATTAAAACGTGTCCGGTTTCGATTTCGTGTGATAGTTTATCGGTAGGTATGTTAAGTGTGAGTAGTTGCTTCCAGTAGGTAGCTCGCATGAATAAAGTTTAGTGTCTAGACTATTGATTTCCACGAATTCCTGCGTCGAGAAACGGACGAAGGAACAAAACAAAAGAGGACGACTGAGTTCACGTTACCATCCGGCACTCCTCCCCAGCAGCTATTGTGGTAAAAATAAAAAACTACTCATAAGTAGTATAAATTTATCACTCAGTCTACACACCGAAAAAATGGCAAATAATAATGAAAAGAATAATATAATAAATCCTAAATGACGTTCAACATGGATCAAACTGCTCGACATGTCGCAAATAGATGTCAATGTCATTATTAAACTTTTGTACTGAAAAATTGAACCACATTCGGTACTGTACATCATCCAAATGTTCCCATATAACATCACCTACAGACCCGGTGAAGCTTTTTATTCATCTTTTGATGTGACTCCAAAAGGAATCAACATTATTCATATGGATACCAGCTGTAGGGTTCAAGAAACCGTCTGTGTAGTTCACGCAAGTGTATACAACCAAGGAAACACAATGAACGGTATCCGACCCATTGATCCGTTCAGTTCAGTTCACTTATCACAGGACGAATTGTGGTTCTTGCCAATCGAGCGTCCAGATTTGTGTGTTGTCGTCGAGTTGCCTTGGCTTCCAACACTTTGATATGCAATTTTCCTGAAAGGCAGAAATATGTGGTGCAGTATCACATCCTTTGTGGTTTGGTTAAAGGTGGTACTAAACGCTTACCTCAGGGAAAACCGCTATCCAACACTCATCAAGTGCCTTTTTAAAAGCATTCAAAGTACTACAGCTTACCACTGACAGCGGAAACCGGTTCCACAACGGAATTACCGTGTTAGTGAAAAGCGTTGATCTCATTTGCAGCCTGGAGTGGCTTCGCTGCAACCGTAAGTTATGTCCCCCCGTGTGTTACCCAGCTAACATTCTCGTGGTTAGACGTTGAACCAGTCATAAGTTATCGACGTCCTTTCTAAAGAGCGGTGCTCAAGCCTGCACACAATATTCCAGATGCGGGGGGACGATGCTCTTGTATAGGGGGACATAGACCTCTAGCTTTCTGCACGTCATCTTTGTGCATAGACGAAACAGTTGTCCCCTGGTTTTGTTTGCGGCCTTCACACATTGGGTGCTAGGTTTTAAATCCCGCGTGACCACTATGCCTAGATCCTTCGTCCCGTGCACCCTTTGTATAGACAGGCTACTTGCTGTCTCGTCATCAGTTCTGTTCCTCAGTATCTGACATTTCGAGACGTTCAGTGGCGGTCCCATTTTTCGGTCCATCGTTGTACTAT